CTTTAAGACTTAAGTTTCAGTTTGGAACGTCCATCTCCAATCTCGGTGCCAAGTCGAATAAAAACTCAGTATTCATTAAATTGAACCCCGAGTTGCTTTCATATGATGATTGGAATTAAGGCCCGAGCCCGAATCTCGCGCGTAGTCATCTCCTCATGGTGAGAGGTAATTGATATCGAACCTGGTAATTGATATCGTTTTCGAAACTTTAATTTTTCCAAAACGATATCAAACCAAGAATTACGCCTACCTACAAACCTACAGTCCAATCTGGAACTGGACTGTAGGAACAATTAGTTGATACGTAAATTATTAGATCCACCCGCCCCTTAATCCTTTGCTCTCCGAATTATTTTCCAATTATTTCTCTTTCTTTTTTCGGCAATTTAACTGAGACAGTCAGTTACACTGAGATAAAAATTGATGTCAAGTCACACTCGACAAAGGGTTAATATCAAGTTGCGTCTAGTTTAGTTAATCGTAAGATAATCGAAAACTAGTGACGGTACTTCAGACCCTAAGACACAAAGTCCCATTTTATACATCCTGTCTTTAGTCAATATTAGATTATCGCCCGCAGTCCTTGATGTGCGCCGATCGGCTGTTTAATTTACGATTTCGTTATACAATGTAGAGGTTTACCATAGGATTTATGCCGGGAAGAGGGAAGGTATTTCATCGTGTTGGAGGGAAAACGAAACAAATAGCGCGCACAAATCGATAGAAGCCGCGAGAATAATGCCTGCCGCGTAAACCGAACAAGCCGTTTAAAACCGCTACTTGATTAACAGGAAAGCCGGTAGATCCGTCGGTATTTTCTGGCATCGAAACACTGTCGACCACCGCCGCCGCCGATATCGGTCCGCGAAAATCAAAATCGCGGATTACAACTTTGCCTCATTAAAGTACAAAAAGAGTGAAGGAGAGAGAAACGCCGAGTAATACGTTCTCCCATTAGCCGACTAAACTCCGTCTATCTCGGTGTCCGTAGAGGCGAGAACAACCACCGAGAGTGGATTAGAAGGAAGACACGATTGTCCTTTCGATTCACGGAGAACGTTCGTTTTATCTCCGTTTCGAGATTCAGGCTAATCGAATACAAGATTCTACGTCCGTAGGGGCGCCTGGAGATCCGAGGATACAGAATACAAAACGGAAACGGTGGAAAGAGGAAGGAGGAGGGGGAGAGGAAGAACCGTTCTCGGCAAGCGAGCACGGGATGCGATTGTTCCGAAGCGCGTTTTCCAAGACGAGCGTGGCAATTACTTAAAAGCTTCCAATTGTTTACGGATAGAAAGGCTAGCTGAGGGGAGAGAGAGTTTATGGGATACGCCATTCCCAACAGGTGGCGGTGGCACGGGAACGAAACACGGCAGGCCGCGCGACCCCTTTCAGAAAAATCATTCTACCCTGCATTAGACTTTCAAATTGCCGGACATGCCGGATAACGCCATATTCCGACCTCCTCTCCCCTGTTCCCGTATAATTCATCCTGTTACCAACGTTCCCGGCCGTGTAATTGTTTCCAGCGTTTCTGACGCTGCACATTTCCGACTCACCGGCCGCGCGGATATTTTCATGATTCCACAGACCAGCCAGAAAATGGATCGACGGTTCGAAAGATCGACCAATAAAAACACCAGATGCTTCATTACCGAGTCAAATGTAGAATCACACTGATTTGACCTACTGATCGACTGAATAGTGATCGAAACCTGCTCGCTACGTTCGCATACCAACTCGACCGAGATTGCCTCGTCGGTCGTCGTGCTTCTACAATTTCAGCAAAAAAAAAAAAAAAAAGAAAGAGGAAACGACTCGG